ACCCACTAGCCATTCAATAGGTTGCACATACCCATTTCTGTTTAATCGATTTTATCGTTATTTGGGCTACAGATCATACCACTTCTTCCTTTGTAAGGGGGCAATTGAACGTTATAAAAGGCCGAAAAGGGAAATCTATTACTGGACACGAGGATTCATTCACCTACCTCACTTGAACTACCTCTTTATCAAAGGGGGGGGGGGGGGGGTAACGCAGACGGTGCGAATGTTGTTCTACTCCTAGCGTTGCACTGCATGAACAGTATTTTTGCTAATTTTCCTCTCATATCGATTTATTTCATCAACATGGGTCTAGACGTAGTCATTACTTTAATAAGTCCCCTAGAAGACAATTCTCAAAACAGTTATTAGTCTACCGTAATTTACCTTCTTATTAAGTTTCAGCAGCTATGCAAAAATTTGAGTTCATATGAGTTTTCGATAATTCCATGCATACTTCCACAAGCAAACAAGAAACTGCTTTCTGTCTTCAAGTCGAATTAATAACATGTACAACGAACCTGAAGGAATTCCGCTACCTTGGAGAATGCATTGATTGACACGGGCAATATCATCGAGGGTGATGGGTTGTGTTTTTCTGCGTTGCATGGCTGTCCGATCCATTTTGATTGGTCGACCTCCTCCTGAACGTTTTGTAAATATACTGCTCTTCTCCTTCACTGTTAATCTTTAACGTTAAAAATTAATTTTCTGAAGTAGTTATATGGAAATTGGTTGAATGCATTCAAGGACTTGACACTACGTTACCAGGAATAAACATTTCAATAATTTAAACAGCTGCCATTATTTCGGTTAATGGAATTCGTGATTATTTTATGACAGCCCATAGAACTTGTAATTTGGTGATTAAATTATTCAAATTTCTCTCGTCATAACAATATTCACTTGAAAGACAGATAGCTGAAGCTGAGGAATTTATAGCCTCCACGCCTCCCCTTCCATATTTTTTAGGACAATAGTAACACTAGTGATCATGCTTTTCCAAGTTGGTGGATGACTGAAGTAACTGAGATAGGAGACAATGCACTCCCCAACCACCACCATTTTAACTAAATTTCAGATAGAAGCTCGTATTCCTTAAAGTTTCCACATCAATTAATGTTTCACTTACTATCAGTTTTATCAATAACATCCTTGAATGCAAGTGTAATATTGCTGACGAATCTTAATAAAACAGGTAATTTGTAAGATGAAAATGAATTTCTATGAATCCTTAAAGTGTGCGATAGACTTACCTCCACGTGGTCCACCCCAAGAATTGCATACTCATACACCAAAAAAGTCCATAAACGGGCAGTTGATTTCTGCTTTCAAACTAGCATAACCCGACTGTATGTCATACCCCATCATTTCAACAATACTCATCTCACCTTACCTTTTTCTCTACCTTTTGGTCTGTCTCTTACATCTGTGAATCACACTTCTGTTCCCTCTCTCCACTTTTTTGCTACATCGACATTCCTCCCCTCTGTAAAGCCCGAAGCCAACTAAAGGGCTAATGATGACTATCATAAAGCCTGACATTTGATAAAAATGCATAAATGTTGCGTTAATATAACTGTTCACGAAAGCGAAATCATGGCATCAGTCTGTTCAGCAATGTTAACTAATTAGTGAACTTTGTTTCGCTTACATCACAATAGATCAAATATAGCCTTAGCCGTTAGCGGAAAAGTGCACAAAAGTGTTTCCCTAACAAACAGAATTAATTAACCATGCCATAGGCTCTTAACTCCGCAAAAAAATCAATTTAGCGAGGGAGTAAGGGGCATATTAGTAAAGTGAAAAAGGGCAGTGTAGCGGATTGCTACTTTATTAAAGCCTGACCGACTCAGAAATCTCTATGGCAGATCCCTAAGTAAAGCCTGACTGACTTAGAAATCTCTATGGCAGATTCTTCAACATCTAGCTAGACCGACTCAGAAATCTCCATGGCAGATTCTCAAACATCTAGCTACCGGCTCAGAAATTTCTATGGCAGATTCTCCAACATCTAGCTAGGAATCAGAAATCTCTATGGCAGATTCTCCAACCTCTAGCTAGAGAACAGCTAAGCTATAGCTCAGCTATAAAGAAAACAGACGTGTAGCACGGAGCGCGTTTATATCTGTGGCAGATTCTCCTACATCTAGCTAGACTCCCAGAACGGCAGATTCTCCAACGTCTAGCTAGACTCCCAGAACCAGGGAGATTCTCCTACATCTAGCTAGACTCCCAGAACCAGCTAAACCATAGCCCAGCTATAAAGGAAACAGACGAGTAGCACGGAGATATAGCCCAGCTATAAGGAAAACAGACGTGTAGCACGGAATACGCTTATTCAGTACGTATATTGATAGCGAGGTGTCATGTTGGCAAAGCGATTAGTTATCCGATAACTCTAGCATAATTCGCGTGAACATTAATAGCTAAATATTTCTGAGTAGTGTTCTATAGCAGGATTTCTGTTTGATCATTGATGAAGTGTCCCACCACAGTATAATTTTTGGATAAAGTATGCTTTCTTGCATGTCGGATGATCTACTCGATTGCGTACTTACTGTATTACATTGGGAATGGCAATCGCTTAATTGATCAACTGTCGCAATTACGATTTACTGGGTCTGGAACTGGAACTCATAGTTTCTTTATCACATGATCAAAGTAGCAGAATGTGCCCTTCCCATATCATAGTTGAATGCCTGAATGAAATACCGTGTTAGAAAAAACCTTCTCTATGTACTATGGAAGCTTATTTTAAAACGAGTTCCAAGTGTATCACTTTTATGAAATAAATTTTTTTTCATTAGCTCTTTGGTTAATTTAAATTGAATTATGACCACTGGTGTGCAACGTACGGAACCACTTCAAAAATTCATGAAAAAGAGCCTTAAATTATGTTCACCTTATAGTAAATTATGCCCATAAGAGACCTGCCGATTTGTTCAAATGATCTAAAATCCTTAATTTGATCTTCTACGTGTAACAAATATGATAAAAATATTCATTTTTGTACTCAAATCATCAACTACGTGATGGGCGTCTTCATTAAATGCTAAGCCTCCATCTCTTATCACTTTTATTTATGAAGCATCTTATGAATGGAAGGAAATTGCTGGCTTTCCTGCCTATTTTAATGACTCCTCGTAGAGGGTTTGAACGGGTTCGAGGTTTGTAGTCAGAATATGAGAAGTTAAAGATGGCTCATTGATGAAAAATTTTAGACTTATTCCCATAATTAAGCGTTTAAAACAAGTACGAAGAAATTGCAGTAAACCGTCACAGAAGTCTAAGTTTCCCCGTTAGATCTGAGATAAAACCAAATCCAAAGAAATGCCGAAACGTCGTTTCCGAAAGTACGAATTCTAATCACTAAACCTATCTTAAGGTGAGATTGGAATAATTTAATTGAGGAAAGAGACTCACTTTGATAAGGTATCACCTAGAGAGTCTTGGGAGGGCATAGGACCTGGTGTTTGAGTGCGTGGATATTGTTGTCTATTCACCAATCGTATGATGGTTTGTGGTTTAGCATCAGCAGGAAAAGACTGCTCCCGAATTCTACGGTTGCGTTCCTCCTCAAATTCTTCATCAAATCTCTTCTTTGCTGCCTCATTTTCCTCCAAAACTTGTCCAGTGTTGAAAGCTCGAACTCTCTCCTCTACTGGAACTAACTCATCACCGTGTGCAATCAAATCATGATCTACAAATCCACTCTTATTCTTGCCCAGTTCTTCTAATCTTCGCTCCTCCTGCCATAGTCTTGCTCTATCAATAACCGACATTACACTGCTATCTCCGGCA